TTCTGAACTAAACGAGGTTAGTTCATTCCTCAGAGTTATTTCACAATAATTTCCCCAAATCGTCAAGCCTACCACAGGAAATCAACTATTTCTTTTTGAGAGTCCTATTTCTATAGGCAACCTGTTTCAATGGGGTGCTCAAAAATAATGGAAACCTGTCACTCTTTTCATGATATCTCGAAAAAAATTATATAGCGTACACATGGGCTGTAATATATGGTTTTTCATATTTGAAAGAGTCATATTTGAAAAACCCCAGGGAATCGAAACTAAATAACTATTTCATACTCATAGTTCCCTTTATCGTTTTGAGAAGAGCAAGAACAAAGATTCTAGCAGAATAGAATGAATTCGTTTTTATCTCGTAGGTTCTCGTCAGCTGCTTACAACCTGTGATATTTAAAATTATAATTACATAATGGGTTGTAGGTAGCTGACGAGCACCGACGAAACGAAAATGAATTCATGCTATTCTGCTAGAATCTTTGTTCTTGCTCTTTTCTAAATAACTATTTTGTTTCGCTTAGCATTCTGACTCAAACTTGTTTGGGGAAATAATCATAAGCAAGATTATTTAATATTAATTATGTACCAAACAGAAATCTAGCCGTCTTAAGATACTGTATATGAAATGGTGGAAAAGATTTATTCCTCGGGTGGATTTTTTATGTTTATATGTGGAAGCACTGATGCAATTCTTATTTACTTTTATTAGTGACTAAATACGGCTCTATGTTATACTCTCTATTAAATCAGTTATTATAGTTGATAACCGAAATTCCAACTTATCAGAACGTTTGTGGATCGAGCGGAGATATTGTACACATGTTTTTGCTGTTGTAAGGATTAAACATTTTCCTAGTCACATGTAAACATAACAACTAATTTAACAATTGAATGTACATCTGCTCACACTTCGCAGTTTAGAAACCGGTGATTTCAAGAACTGAAGTTATATCCTGTTTTTGATGCTCCTAGCTTTCTCCAAAATCACTCCTACTCTTCCTAAAATTATACATCTTGGTAGACGATGGTCAGGCCTATGCTTCAACCACCTCAATCTATGAAAGTTTACATCCTCGTCAATCGATTCACCATATCTGCCTAATACATTGCACCTAAGCTGAGAATTACTCACTCGGCTGTCCCACGGTACAAGAGTGTCTTGAGAACAATTGTGATCAAAATCTGCAGTTTACTCGCGCTTTAGTCTATAGATCAACATCTTGACTACACCAAAAATTGCCCAAGTTAGCAAAAGCCAAAGAAACTTTCTAAGTCCACTCATCAAGGCTAACGAGATAATTGAGATAAATAAATGCAGTGAAGGAAATTATTTGGACGGATTAAGGTGTGTTATTTTTGTGGCCAGGCCTTTCTCATTATGATATAATGACGTTCCTATAAATGTCATCCATCCGTGAAAGACACTTTTGGCTCCACAACATCTGGGTGCACGAATCCGATCTTGGAGCTTAAATTTTATGATTTTAATCTTGTCGATTACCTGGCCGACCACCCTGGCTTGTTATGACCTAAAGAACCAAATGTTCCAGTTAGCATAGTTCAATTACGTATCCGCAATAAACGAATCCAACTACCATACCACGGCAGGAACTCTACAGTCGTGCATCCACTGCAAGGTTTATTCACCAAATATCTGAGATAATTATTCAACCTTTTGGAAATAAATGTTTCCGATAAACAAATGTTCATTACGTTTTGCTAAGAAAATATGCAATATATAAAATCTTAAAAGACATTACACATGGTTCTAAAGAAAATACGCCTTGCAAACTTAGAATTTAAGTGAATATTCCGTCTACTATGAAATACCTAGGTAATATCTTCTTGTACCCACTTGTATGACTGAGAGACACGAATAAATAAATCCATGTAAATGTACTAAGTTTTAGACAAAAATGTACGCAGTTGGGGGTCAGTCTACTTAAGAACGGTTGATGAACTAGTATTCTCCGTAGCTTATCGGTTAATCGGCAACTGTAAACCTTAACTGTTCATTCCAACTTGTTATATCCTAGCAGTCGCTCTCAGTTATCCAATACTAAACACAGTGAATCGCTGGGTTCAATAAAATTAATATGCGTTGATTCATGTCTAGCAGTACAAATGATCACAAGCACAGAATTTCTATAATTATTATTTGTTAACGTGTAGAAAATGAATTTCTGTTATTTAGAACTATTTGACATCAGATTCCGATGATTGCTTGTTTTCTTTGTATCTTCTTCAGTTTGATTATGTCATTTGATTGCTTAGAATTACTGACCATAAGTTTCCTATGCTTTATCTGACTCATAAGCTTATTCTTCTGTGCCTTCATAAAGATCATTTTGAGTTATCGCTGAATCAGATATTATTGTTTTATAATGGGAGTATTAATATTAAGATAAATTTCATGGCCTTTGTAGACTTTTTCTTAATGTATTATCCGTAAATAAGCACGTATTTTGTATTCGATGTAGATTTTGTGGGATGAAAACGAAGTAGAAGCAATAGATTTCGGTCCTTTTGATGTTGAGTCTGTGGAAAACATTGAAATTGAAAGGGAAAACATGGTGTCAACCTCTTCATCCGGAACGCCAGATAATCCAAACGTTGGTTCTGCCAGTCAGTCTAATGTTCCATCGTCAATGAACGAAAGAAAACCAATAGTTGCTTCTGGTGCATCTGCTCGTTATCTTTTAGACTCAGTTGATGGACGTCAAGCTCTGTTAAATGATCTACTTGAATTGAATGCGTTTCTTCAACGTTTTCAGGAGGATTTACTCGAACGATTAGATAATGAAAGTGAGCATCAGCTCAGTAGAACTGGATGTAATGCGTTCAAACCTTCCGGTGGTATTGGTTGTGATACCATTCAGAATATTATCATACAGGTTGAAAAATGTTGTGTTATTAAATTGAATGCTCGTTATCAAAAATTTATTATATTTACATAATATCTATAGTTTTCCATACAAGTATTTTGTAACTTATATAATGTTCCTCATACTTCCTGAAAGATATCGCTTCGTTTTGCAGTATAAAATAAATTCACCTGAAACTTCACTAGAACAAAATATGTGAGTTCGTTGGCACTTTCTAGAGACTTGAGTAATATACCACCAATATTTCGGGAGCGATTTCACAGGGCATAAATTATTATTTACTTTTATGATAATAGTCTTCTGTTTGTGTGGTACAGTGATCATTACAATCTTGTTGCGATGGAATTCCTTGTAATCTCAAATTTGACCCACATCAAATTACTTCCCGATAAATGCATCTAAAATGTTCTATCATGTCCTATAAAAATCATAAATACAACGTACGAAATATGTTATTCCTTTATTGGAGTTAGAAATACGCCTTTACATATTGTAGGATACTGTGATGTACTTCATCATCAATATTGCTTCTGTAGAGTACTTTACTAGCTAAACACGCCCTTTTCCATTAGATTTGTACCTAAAGGCATTTTTCATATTCGCTTTAACTAAGCCAAATTACAGATCAAGATAACAAAATTTTCGAAACCTTTGTATTTCTAAACAGATAGTAACCGACCTTCAAATACCCTGATAATAAATCGCAGGTACAAATAATTTCTCTCTTCTTTTTATCTTTGGATTATATTCGAGTTAGCACAAACTTTTGTGGTTTAATTATTTTCTCAAAAGCACTACAAGCAGCATTGTTTGAAGAACAACAACCATCTCATTGTTTCTCACATAGGTAATTTATTGAAAGTTGGGTCAGAGACGCTGATGTAATCGACGTGTAATTTTGGTAATCTACGAATAAAACTGAGTCGTGGTCATAGAACATACAGCAAACTTCCTGGTTTTTTCACCGAAACTGTTTATAACTATATTCCATTTAGCCTACTGTCTTAACAAGCCAACGTTACATTTGTATATAAGATTAGTCTGTTGTTTATTTGTGATATCATTATCTAAGAAATTACTCATAGAAAGCATACGAAATATGCACCTGTTTTATTAATTTTAAGAAATAAGTATCAAATACAATTATTAAGATCAGCACTCTAATAGTTTGCTTATTGACGAAGACTTGAGTCTGAGCACCAGTAATAAAACTTTGACGTAGTAGATCAATATGTACGTAATCTTATCCGGAAAGAAAAGTCTATTTAGAATTTTTACTGAATCCAAACTATAGTCCACATGTTTGGATGTTACACTACTATTACCTAATGCCTTGTGCTAGATTTTCTAATATCGCTTTTTTGTATTTATCTTTCTCGAATCAGTTTATACTCGCTATTTTTATTGTGTGATATTGGGAAATCAGCTCACTTCCAACAAATTGTCTTTATTATTTCGCGGAACAATGGCTAGTTATAGAAATGTATTAAGTAGTCGTATACGAAACTCCGATTTACGTCTATTGTTTGGAGGTATTTTACAGTGTCAGTGTGCTAATCATATTATATATAGTCACTCCCTACTTTTAAGATAATTTGTTATATAAGCCATTTAGAACAGATCAAATATGTAGATGGACATTACTCAAGCTTCATCATTATCATATGTTGTTGCGAAGTCAATAATATCTGGATATATTAGTAGTTTAAACGAACTAGCTGAATATTGATTTCTTTGACTATGCTGGATGGCATAAGACTTCTACTCGATACAAAAATATATCTTAATTACATTATTATTTATAATTGAAGATATGTCAAGAAACTCTAAGGTTCAATAAGAACTTACATGCATCAAGCCTCTTCATTGTTATCAATATACATAATGCTTTCATAGTTTATGTTTGCTTGTTTTTTTTAGAATGCTCCAAATGATCTATCATATACATCAAATGACATATCTAGAATGATTGAACTTGTTAAAGAAGCTTTGAATAAGCTAACTACAAGGTAGTTTTAATAGTTACTACTCCATAGTCTGAATATGAATATCTACTATATGTGACTAATCTATGACGTTTTGTTTATTCAAAGTTCTTTAAGCCAATTGATGATGATACGAACTAGAATAGGATACTTAGATCGATTGACTGATCGACTTCTGGATTATAGACGTCAAGTAGAACTGGCTAGAACAAGATGCAGTCAAACACAGAAACTGATCGACAAAGCACTAATGGAGCAACAGGAGAAGACAACACAACTCGCGCAACTCAAGAACTATTGTAAGAAGTTAGTTAGCTTTGTAAGTTTTGTGCGATCTACTCATACTGTTGCCATTTTTAACTATTTCAGTACTTTCATCACGTGTTCGTAAATTATCTTAATCCTGAGATGCTAGGTCATGTAACTCTAAATCTATTTCGTACTATTAAACTATTAGACATATTTGCATTTCTATGAAAATCAATATTCATTCGATTACAACCCTGTCACTCAGTGTCAGACACTTGTTAGTAATCATCTTAATGATTATCTAATTCCCCTAAAACTACATACTCCCTGATAATTAGAAAATAATCGTTTACTACATTTCTAATGCATTTAGGTTGACAATAACCCCTTATTTACAGATATGGTGTCGTAACACAGTACAGACTCCTACTATACATTTAGATAAATTGAATTGAAACCTAACATCTCAACATTTTTACCAGTTAATCTATAACTGAGGTATAGTCCTCGTCTTTTCTAAAAATTGGATTTGGTTTTTGTTCAAAATGTTGATTTTGCTAGGATCAAGCAATAACTGAAGTCACACATATTATCATAAAGTTAGAAATCTGGAGTTCATTACAAAGTCTTGGGCAAATGTTTCATTCACACGTTCATTATCGCAGTTTTGTTTAATTCAGCTCTGAAAGTCGACTTAGTTTTTAAAACAGTACATATTCTTGTTTCATGATTTCAGTTGGAGGATGAACTATCAAGAATCTGTAATCGGCAAGTGCAAATAACTGGACAGTTCTGCGATCTGTGATAGGATTCGCTAACTCCACATTAATTAAATATATATTTACCAACAAATCTAGTTTTGCTTTCTAGATTGGGAACCTTCTCCCGATTTTGCTCATGTAAATTTATTGTTTCTTACAAGTTCACCTTTGGTTTTTTCTATTTGAAGCAGATAAAGATGTACTTCCTCACAAAAGTCCACAGTCGCGTAGAACCGACTAGCAATTAAGTTCACTTTAGCTGACCTAGATTAGACCCTGCGTGGAATGCTCGGGAAGTGCCCCTTAAGAGAACCACATACCTCAGTCTGGGCACCCGAGCAGTATCCCAGCCCTAACATAGACCGAGTGATTTGTGTGACGCATATGTACTTCGTGTCTCTGCACCAACTGATTGTTTAAAAAAAGTGCTGACCAAGTTTAGTAAACGCCTCACATCCCCACTCTACTTACACGACAAACCCGCCTTTGACCGTTCCTGGGGCGACATGACTTCAGATCCAAGCTGATTAGTCATCTGACCCTTAAAAATACCCGCCGAAATGTAAGTAAAAACTTCTGCACACATCGTATTGCCACTGCTGGTACAGGAAATTGATGGGCTCGTGATATTGATCTTACCAAAATCCACACCACACACATGTACATTATACTCGAGTCACAGAGGTCCTACGGTAGCGAGGATGCGTAGGGCTCCGAGTACCGGATAACTTCGCGAGTGGTTCCCCAACAAAGATCTACGGCAACTGCCTCTCAACTCTCATACCGCAAGTACTACCGTAGTGAGCGAGAACATAAACGGGACAATCAAATCTATCTGAACACAAAAATTACAGGACATGTTAGTGGAACCCGAGAACCAGACAGTTAACGCTCAATTTGCAAAATGTCTTTCGACTACCACGAACTACATAGCAGCCACTACCTGATCTTAACCTTTCGCAGCCACACACCTCACTTCCAGATGACGGTAAATACTACTCATACCTAACATCGGTAGCACGCGCTACACTACTCTACGTTACTTTGTCTAGACACTATCTCCGCTTGAGAGAAGGTTAAAGTTTTACTACACACTACTGACCGCCGTGAGTTCGAGCTCTTGACACACTGATACTAGGAAAACCATGGGAACATATCTCGGGGGTTTGATAGGTCAACTGTAGATATGTAACAAGGTTGTTTTTGCAAACAACGTAGCTACGCTTTATTTCCACCAATTTGTTTACTAGCGTAATCTCCAAATAAAACAACCTAAGGAAAATCTGGCGATGTCAAGGACTTAGTCTTTTATTGACCTTCGGGACCAACGCATAGAATGCAGGTCGCTACCGGCCGCAGAAGTGTGTGACCCCGTACACATAGAGCACCCCAGCCACTTCCTATACTCTTTTCACAAACAGCATTAAAATACGGTGCGTACTAATTGCACTAATGTAGGTCTCAAATCCACAAAAACCATCCAACAAAAATCAAGAAAGCTAGTAGTTAGTTTTATTATTGGTAAGGTTTAAAGTACACTTGACGTTACCGGACACCAAGGACACAAGTTTGTAACTCAGAGGATATTAAGTACCTAAAAAGAAAAACAAGTGATGCATTATCACACGGAAAACTTTTAAGGGCAGAACTCATTCAGATTCAGATTTGTGTAGTAAGGACAGAAGGCCTACGGCCTATGTTATTCCTTTTCTAGTATGCTTCTGTGAGTGTCCAGTCTTCTCTTGAAAGAGTCAATTGAAGGTGCGGATACCACTGCTTCAGGCAGCAGGTTCCAAGTATTGATGACTCGGTGTGAAAACCTGTATGCCAGGGGTATTTTGTTCGTTCTTGGCTTTTCTACTCGCCTGCTATGTCCTCTGAGGTGTCCCGATCTAGTGGGAAGAAAGAGAGAGAATAAGTTAGGTCCGAAATCATTTCTCAGTATTCTGTACATCAATATTAGATCTCCCCTTAGTCTGCGATAGGACAGAGTAAAGAGGTTCAGTTTTTCAAGCCGCTCTTCATATGATAAACCCCGGAGTTCCGGAATTGCACGCGTAGCTGCCCTCTGTACCTTTTCTAGTATGTCTGAGTCACCTTTTAAACAGGGGCTTGCAGCCTGAACACAGTTCTCTAACTTAGTTCTCACTAAGGATGTGTATAATGTGGTGAACATGGTAGTATCAAGCTTAGTGAATGTCCTTTTTAAAGCCCAGAGGGTTCGAAACCCCTTAACTGCGACCTCCCGGCAATGGGCCGTCGTCTTAAGATCATTGCTCACTGTCACCCCTAGGTCCTTATGAGACCGGACTATGGGTAATGACACATCCCCTATGTTGTACGTATTAACCTTTGAATCCCCCAAGTGCATGTAGACACACTTTTCCGAGTTGATAGGCATTAGCCACTCTTTAGACCAGTTTATCATATTATTTAAGTCCGCCTGAAGAGTAAATGCGTCTGTGTCACCAGTTATTACTCGCCAAATTTTTACATCGTCAGCGTATAATAACATTGGAGACTGTACTATACTTGTAAGATCATTAACGTACATTATAAAAAGTAAAGGACCTAGGACGGAACCTTGGGGTACTCCACCAAGTACTGGTCTCCAGATGGAGCACTTGGAATTTATTCTTACTTTTTGCCTACGACCTACTAGGAAATCCTTAATCCATTTTAAAAGAGGTCCGGCAATACCAAGGTTTGCCAACTTCAATAGCAGTCTATTAGTTGGCACCTTGTCAAAAGCCTTACTGAAGTCTATGTAGACAACATCCACTGAGTTTCCGTTGTCTAGCGCATTAATCCAGAGCTCCCTAGCTATAAGGAGGTTCGTTGTACAGGATAGACCCTTTCTAAAACCATGTTGTGCCATGTTCAGAAAGTTATTGGTTTCCATAAATGCCGTTATGGTCCGTTTGATTATCCCTTCCAGTATTTTAATTACAACACTGGTGAGGCTTACGGGTCTGTAATTTGATGGAACTTGTCGTAGACCAGTTTTATGTATGGGAGTGACGATTGCGTCCTTCCAGTCCATAGGTAACACACCTTGGTCAAGTGACATTTTGAATATCACAGTCAGTGGGGCTGCGATATATTGGGCAATATGTCTCAAGATTTTAGGGTGTAGTTCATCTGGTCCTGTTGACTTCTCCATGTTTAGGGTGCTAAGAGCCTTAAGCACATCGTTTTGGTCGAAGTCCACGGTGAGCAGCCGGTTTGTTGACTCTGTAATTGGGTCTGGTTCTTTCTCTAGAGGAGGTTCCTGAGTGAAAACTGCCCCAAAGTAGTCAGCCATAATCTCAGCTTTTTCCTGATCTTCCTCTATCATTTCAGATTCACTTCCTACTTTAATTAGGTTGGGAATCCAGTGATGAGTCCTTGTTCTGTAGTTTATGTACGAGAATATCCTCTTGGGCTGCTTGAGTGCAGATTCTGCCAGCTGCATTTCGTATTTTCTTTGCGCTTCCCGAATTTTAGTTATACACACGTTTCTTATCGATCTGTAGCGTTCCATCGTACCTGCTGTGCCAAGGCGGATGGCAACATCCCAGCATTTCTTCTTTTGTCTTAGTAAGCGTCGAATATCCCGCCCTAACCAGGGATGTCCGTGCTTCTTTTTCTTTGGGACAGTCCAGGGTATATATGGTTGAGTTACCCGATTGTATAACTGTCTGAATAGAGTCCATGCCTCTTGTACTGATGCCTTTGAGTCAATTTCCCAGTTCTCAGCCGATGCTGCGGAGTTAATTGCCTGCATATCTGCCTTCCATATGTTAGGACGGGCCGGCGCAATTGTTTGACAAGCAATCTCAGCCATGAATTTGAATAAGATGACTGCATGGTCACTTCTCCCAAGTGGTGGGAGAAAAGCCTTTTGGCCAACGTCATCACCGTGTGTAAAGACTAAATCTAAAAGAGAAGAAGAGTTTCTTAAGTCGTACCTTGTGGGATCTCTAATGTGTTGGAATAATGCTAGTCCAATCGAGGTTTCTAACAGTTTGGAGTCGAACGACGATATAGATGACTCTACTTCTAAGTTAACCCAGTTTATATATGGTGCATTAAAGTCGCCTACTACAAGGCTTTTACCGTTGTTACACCAGGACTTAAGTTTACTGAGGAGAAAATCATCTGCTACACATTCTGGACTGCGATATACTACAACTAATTCAATATCTTGCCTTCGGCATTTCAACTTACATCTCACCAGTTCACATGTCCCTGAAACATGTGCTACTGTCTCAGCTAATCTTATGGTTAGGCTACTTTTCGTGTACACAATAACCCCGCCTCCCCTTCGGTTTAATCTATCAGCCCTACTGGTTATGAAACCATTCAATTGGATTTCACTATCTAATACTTCTGACGTTAACCAAGTTTCCGAGACAGCGATAACGTCCGGTTTTTCTTTATCCACCACTGACTTCAGCTCCGCCATTTTATTTAGGAGGCTGCGAGCATTTGTGTAGCACACTTTTAAGTCTGTGGAGAGCTTTCCCTTGCCACCCAGAGTGGCTTGGGGATCGTTTTGCTCCGAACTTTTACAATCTGAAAACCCTTAAGAACGAGGTTTCTTTCACCATTTCGGCGACGCTCGTTTATTTCCGCTTCTGCAGCCCTTCTCTTAATACGATCAGCTAGGCTGAGGTCCTCACGGACATATATTCCGGACCCAATCAGTTTACGTGAATTACTTAGAACCAGGTTCCTTTCTTCCACCGTGTTGAGTGTAACCTTTAGGAGGCGGTTTTTCTGAGGACTTTCGGAATCCACCTTTTTTCCTATTCTATAAAGCTTACAAATACTAACTCCTGAAACTGTATCTGGGAGTAGTTTACTTAATGATGTCTTAATATGATTGAGATCATGTTCAAATCTTGCCTTTGGTTCAGTGTCTGAAGATTCTCTTATCTTATGAAAAATGACTGATCTCTCAGAGAGATCTGTCTTTTCACGCGGTGAGGATTTTTCTTCTGATAAAGTCCCTTCCAATGTCTTGCTGACCAGCTGCGTTTTGCCTACAGCCTTTTTCTTCTTATTTTTTTTTCTTCTTACCGGAGTCCATTTGTCACCACTCAGAACAGCCACACCTGGACTATGTGGAACGGTGACAGTTTTATCCGGATCTTCTATTTCGACTAGGGGTGTATGACTGCCGATGTCAATATCAGGCGACACTTCATTTCTCGTTAATGTCAACGGAGATTTCACGTTCCCGTAAACCGCAGTCAGGTGTTTAATGGGTCCAGTAGCAGCACTTACTACACTGACACATTTTTCATCGTCAGTACTCCTGTTATCAGTGCTTCCACCATCGTTTTACTTGCAGGCCAAAGCCAATAGGCCCATAGCCTCCTGTATTAGTACCTTTTTATCCGTACAGCAGAACACACAAAGCCAATGAGAGTTAGGCTTCGAGCATCTTTTGTAAGCCGTCGGACTTAGTCGTGTACACATTTTGTGATACCACTTTTTACAGTCGTCACACTGCATTCCCTCATCAACGGAGAACAAACAATTTGGTTGCCCACATTTGTGAGTCTTACCAACCATTGTAATTCGATTTAAAAGGTTTAAAAACAAAAAAACGATAACAATGTGAACACAGGTCTTAGTCAAGGACTAAAAACAGGTACCCAGGACAAAATGTAGCAAAAAATTTCAAACTTTAACCAAAGAACTCTTAGTTAAAGTAGACCAAGAATGCTTTTTAGTGCAATAAGTACCAAAAGCAAGTATAATCACAACAAGTACAAAAATCACTGCCCTTTTTGAAATGTCTCCTCAGAAGCATCAGAGACGAAAAATAAGTCATCACAAACACCACTTACTTAGTCCAACGAGGTCGGCAACCAAATTGTCCAGGACGCATCATCAATGGCAAATGGTGGTCTGTCAGTTGGCCGAACCTTTCACTGAATGCATTGAGATGATACTTTAGACACATGATGAGGTACCGATAAACAGCTGACAAGTAATAGGCTCCGGGCTCATAAACTGTTTTAGTATCCTCGTAAATTTTGCTTCAGTAGACAAAAATTTATTACTGAGCGATTGGAAAACTGATCAAGTTGTCTCCGGTTCCTTCACGTGACAATGGTAGCAGGTCTAGTTTTGCCACTCAAGCATCGTACGGATGCTATCCTATCCCGGTAATCGACTTATTTGTGGTCCTTTGAACATTTTCCAACGGCTCGCTGTATCTTTTTATGCAGCCGTCAGCCGCCTGCAAACATTACCTAAGTTTATGACGAATGAAGTCATGGCCATCCCGACCAGGCGCCATCAATTAGCGGACCATAAAAAAACCAACATGCCGTCAATGTCCAAGTCTATAAAACTGTTTATTTCGGTGAACTGTTCGGCTTTCAGCTTAAAAATATTATCATTAGAGGTTAAAAATCAGTATTGCCTTTATTATGTGAATAGGTATGACGCGCGCTATTCACAAACAATAAATGTGTTTTACCTCGCTGGATTAAATTTCTGGTTTTAGTCGTTTATTACTGGTAAAGATCACGACTTTCCAGTTTAATTGACCTAATTTGAGTTGAAGCGACCAAGTAGTATAGTTTGTTTTGAAAGTAGTTCAGCATACGATCAACCATAGGTATATTGGTGTTTGGTTTGTTGTAGTTTTTAACCTACTATTTTAAGATTTCACATTTTACTGGTCACAGGTGGATTGAAGTCATCGCCCTCACCATGTATGCTTGCTGATCAGTAACCCCACCCCTCTTTTGCGATGTTAGGCTCATTTCAGCTTATTTTTGGATAAATGTTGTAGCGGTAAATAAATCCCTGAAATAAATAGCTCTGTAAGTTTCCAACATTATATGCTGATCACATTAGTTTCAATGGACTCACCTAGGTGAAGGAGCGCGGTCATGCATCCGCACCAGATCACGAATGGGAACGCCGTGCTCAACATCCCCTGCAATCGCTAGCCAGATTAGATCAAACGATTCTCGATATATTGATAGCCTATCAAATATATCCTCGAACCTCCTTGCTTCTGTCTTCTGATTTTACTTGGTGAGTACGATTCATATTAGAAGGTTTTACTGGTTAAAGCGCTGCCAAACTCTGAATGCTTGTGGCATCTTTAATGTCATACCTCACACAATCCTCTGTGTTACACATCCTGTTGGAAAACACTATTTCTATAAGTACCATTTTACAAGCTTATCAGGCAGTTACAAATTATTGACTGTGGGTAAGGCATCGATGCAGTGCTTAAACTGACTTTAGTATAAAGTCTAGTTTGCCAATTAGAGTATAAGCATTAGGAAGGGTGATACCATCAATAAGTTCAAAAGACTAATAATCCTGACCTCAATAATTCAACTATTCCCAAAACTCAAACTGAATTATGAGGCACTATTATGCACCGCCTTGTAACTAGACCGACCATGAACACAACGGACATTCATTGTCGTTCATACATGTGTAGCGTGGCGTGGATTCGCGGTAGACTATGAACACCACTACAAAGGAACGCGTGCCAGGATATCCATAAAACTCCCCCGTAAGCCAAATATCAGAAGGCAGTTAATGGACCAAGTCGAGATATATTTGCTGGCGATCTCGTGGTATTAAAAGAATACCGAGATCGTGCCAGGGTACAAGCTTGGTTACAGAGCGTAACCGAATTCGCGCGAGGTCACAATCAAAGTGTAGGAATAATAATGGAAGTACAATGTAGCTGTCATCAGCATAGTTAAACAAAAGCACATTAAAACAAGCACTGATACAGTTGGTTATAATAATTATTATTTTCATTAAACCAGTCGTGTTCTCGTGATTAAAGTGAGTCACTACACATGTATGAATAACTGATTCGACACGTGGCTTTTCTCTCCCATTATTCGTTGTTAGTCATGCACTTACGCTTCTCGCCTCACATTCAGATTCGGATCTTCTATATTGTTTGAGGTTGAATAATTTTTTCCACAAAGTCTAATGTTTTTTTCTTAATTTCTATTCCAAATAGATTGAAAAATCACTAACCCTATGGGTGCTGCTCATTTGTGGACAATCATAGGAAGTTCATAACATTCTAAATTATTTTGTGTTCCTCCTAGTTCACGTACTACCAGTTTAAGAAATTATTTATTAGCATACAAAACTCTTGTTTTCCTACCCACCTACCTTTTTACCCATAAATTTTGCAGCCCTTAACTCTTTCATATTCTTTGATCAGCAATTTGTCATTACCATCTCTAAACCACATGCCATCTGACCAGCACCTGATAAGCTGTACAGTTAGTTAACTTCATGGCAGTGTAATATCATAATAGGATATCTGAACCACAATGCAAAAGCGTCAGCCGCCTCATTTTCTTGTAGGAAGAAACTAAAAGAGACAGTGTGTTCCAGCAAGATGTGAAACACAGGTCCTAGATTAGAGCAAAATTCGTTGTAGGATTTAATTTATCCTAGAGACATACTACTAGAACTGTAAATGCGTATTGCCGACCCCAGAATCTATGTGAGAGCTATGGTCAGAACATTGACAACCTTGCCTGAGACTTTATCCGTTTCTAAATTAGTACAATAATTATAGAAATTACAGTCATTAAGTGGAAAGCACAAACATACCGGCCAGTATTACAGGTTTTATCGAAACATAATATATCAAACTAATCGAGTAACTTATTACATCATAGAGACGTGCCGACAACAAATCAGTTCTAGGTTAAGCAAAAGTCTAAGGAACGACCGTGAGCAGTGGTGGGAAACGAAAGCAAAAGAGGTGGAAAAGGCGGAGACTATAGGGAACACAAGATAGCTTTACAGACTACAAAAGAAACTGGAATTAATAAATCAAGTGTAAGTGAAATTATATCAAAAAAGACGATACTCTCATCTACTCACAGTCCAGACGTTTAGAACGATGGGTGGAACATTTCAGAGAACAGTTTAACTGGCCTTCAGCTACTCTACAACTACCTTCCATTCCCAGACAATGGGAATGGAACATTGAAGTAGGTCCCCCAACTCTTGCTGAAGTTCAAAAGGCTATAGTTAATCTGAAACGAGGAAGGGCTGCTGGTCCAGATGGATTGGCTCCAGAGGTCTTTAAGGATGGTGGTCCAATTTTAGCGATTAGGTTGACTAATATTTTAGCTAAGATCTGGGAGTTAGACGTTATTCCATCTGACTGGTCACAATCACTTATCGTCCCAATATATAAGAGAGGGTTAAAATCATCCTGTGACAACCATAGACGGATTAGTTTAACTAATATAGTATCTAAAATACTAGCATCGATATTTATTAGACGCCTAACTAAGGCTCGTGAACAGCAAACACGAGAGAATGAAGCTGGCTTCAGACCTGGTCGTGGCTGCATTGACCACATATTCACCATTCGTCAGGTTCTAGAACATAGGCATACTTCTCGGCGTCCGACAATGGTGGTCTTTCTTGACTTGAAAGCAGCATTTGACTCTGTAGACCGCGAGATTCTGTGGCAGTGTCTGTCATTGAAAGGCGTACCTCAGAAGCATACAAATCTTCTCAAGGCTTTTTACTTGAACACTACTAATTAAGTCAGAGCATATGGCGAACTGTCATCTGCTTTTGTGACCTCAAGTTGTGTCCGTCAAGGCTGTCCACTATCTCCATTTTTGTTCAACTTCACCATAGACATACAGGTGGAAACAACATTTTATTCGACTGAATTTTCGGGCATCGATCTCCTACCAGGAAGTCCACTTATCGACTTAGAATACCCAGATGATATAGTCCAGTTTGATGAAGACGCTGATAGAATGCAGAGTCTTTTGGTTGCACTAAGCAACAATGCCAGAATGTTTGGAATGCGCTTCTCTCCCTCTAAATGCAAGTTGTTGCTTCAGGACTGGTCTGCGTCAACATCTGAACTAAGGATAGGGAGTGAAGTAGTCGAACGCGTCGACATCTTCTTTTATCTTGGAAGTCTGATCAGCCCTAATGGGTTGGTGTCTGACGAAATCTCAGCACGGATTCGGAAAGCTCGCTTGTCTTTTGCCAACTTACGTCACCCATGGCGAAGGCGAGATATCCGTTTATCAATAAAATGACAGGTATACTGCGCGGCAGTCCATTCTGCTTTAATTTACGGCAGCGAAACATGGCCATTAGGAGTAAAAGACATTCGTAGGTTACTAGTATTTGACCACAGATGCCTTAGAAATATTGATCCCATCTGCTGGGATCACCGGGTAAGTAATAGTGAGGTTAGACGCAGGGTATTAGGAAATGATGGTAAATCAGTTGATGAGGTTGTGAATCTTCATCGACTGAGATGGTTAAGCTACGTGTTACGTATGCCTGAACACCGTTTACCACGACGTGCAATGCTAACTGGTGTTCGGGATGGTTGGAGGAAAGTTAGGGGCGGACAAACCAAAACGTGTCATCAGTGCTTGAAGACAGTAACTTCTAGTCTGAGCCATGTTTCGTAGATGCAGACTACTTGGTTGGGGTTGATTAGTGTATCAGTTCTTTCCTTAAACTTTAAGAAAGCCTTTGATAAGGTCCCACACAAAAGGCTTCTCACCAAACTAAAGTCCTTCGGAATCAACAAATTACTATACTCATGTTTCGCTTCGTTCTTAACAGGACGTAAACGGATGGTTAAGTACACTGACTGTATTTCATCACCTAGACCAATAACTAGTGGAGTCACCCAGCGAAATGTATTAGGGCCACTTTTGTTTCTTATGTATATAAACGATATATATAACACCATAGAATTTGAGAAACCGTACTTATATGCTGATGATCTCAAAATAGTACACAGCTATAAGCCTGAGACACTAAGCGAAAGTGTATCCCAGATCCAAAAGGACCTCAATAACTTAACTATATGGAGTGAAAAATGGCAATTACCATTTAACCTCAACAAGTGCGGGATCATGCACTTTGGAAAGCATCCCTATGAACTACAACTTTACTTAAATAGAAGTAGAATCCAGACACTCAAATCAGTAGACGATCTATGAATTAACTACACGGGAAGCCTGAACTTTGAAGAACATGCCTCCTCTATTATATTTCTAAATGTAGACAGCAAATTGGTTTCATAATGAGAAATTTCTTAACAACAGAGGCTAGGCTTACTCTCTACAAAATATGTGTACGACCCTTCCTTGAATACTGCTCTTTTGTCTTCTCTAATATGAATATCACAGACAAGATGAGAGTAGAAGATGTTCAATAACGTTTCACACGTCAACTACTAGGATGGAACTCGAATCTCGATTACACAGATAGATGTAAGCACCTCTGTTTAGAACCT